AGTGAGCCTACTACAGCAAAGCAGTTATAGGTACCGAGCCTTACAAGGCCGAACAACTGTTTCACTTACTATATTGAGAGAGTTGAGTCAATATTAGCAGGTAAGCATCTTCAGATCATCTTTGACTCCCAGTTACTTTCAGTTATTATATTATCATTTCAGTTTTAACTTTCAGTTATCCTATTGCCTTACATACTCGGTACATTATTTTGTACTAACGTCCTTTTTATTGAGGACGCTGCATTTCATACATGCATGTCCTGGTAGACAACTGGATAGACCTTCCCAGTAGACAGAGTCAAACATCAGCTTGGTTGGTAAGCTCCACTTCCTCAGAGTTACCAATTCTAGACCTTGGAGTCATTTTATATATACAGGATGGGTAGGTTGAGGTCCTGTCCCAAACATGATACAGTTCAGCTATCTCTAGAGGCTTGTGGACAAGTCATGTATAGTTTATATCAGTAGATGTTCATGGCAGCCTCGTTAGCCTGCACAGTTATATATATATATATATATATATATGAGCTTTTCGGTAGGTTTACCCCTCAGATAAGAGAGATGATATTTTTAAATGATTCAGAATATGGCCTCATCGGCCTAAGTTGAGGGTTACCCCTCGAAAGTTTACAGTTATAGAATGGTACGCTCGGGCCGAGTATGGCACCGATTGTCCGCCATGCCTCTAGTTTGGGGTGTGATAGAAATTATAGTAACGTAAAGCATAAACTAACGAAAGAGTAAATACGGAAAAATTAATATTCAAACCATAAAGTGTCTACTAGAATATTCCCAAAACTCGATGTATCAAGTGTATGAGCAACTAGTAGAATATATAAAACCACCTATGCTACTATCTGAAATAAAATAGAAAGAAAATAAATATAAAAGAGAGACTGTGTGTGCTGCTGAACGGATGTAGAGAGTAGCTCACCACTATACCTCGGGGTAATGGTGGTATGCGTCTGAGTGATTGCTAGAAGCACCGACCTCAGATCCTGCATGATTAGTACAGAAGTGTAGCGTGAGTACATTAACAACATATACCCAGTAAGTATCTAGACTATCCTCAAAAAAGAAGTGACAAGGGATCGACATAGACACTTACTATGGGCCAATAAATAAAGTACAAAAATTCTAAATAGGCATAGAATACATCAATAATAATAACACAATAATGAACAATAAATAAGTGATTCTTTAACTAGGTGTCAATTAGGATCTCCAGTTAGCACATACCAACTTAAACAAATACGAGCCATCAAATAAACTATACATTCTCAAGTCATGAAAGAAATATCAAGTATAATCAGACTTCGAGCATTATCACGCACGATTTATATCGAGGTCGTATGACCCGATCTAGAATAATGTGTACACTACCGAGGGTCGACTGGCATGAACCATAGATGCATCTACTGTACTGCCGAGGTATTCAGCCCGCTCCACAAGAAGAGAGAATAATATATGAGCTCCAATTTAACGGCTACAACAAGACTGATACACAAGGAGGCACAATTTCTACCAACGGTCAGGTAACCCGCCAAAACTCAAAGTAAATAAGGTTCGGGCTTTATGAATCCTTTATCAAGTTTCAATATAATTTAAGCACTTAAATTAGCAATTAGAGTGCAAATAATATAAGTATTACATGATAGAGTCCTAAAACTACCCGGACATAAGCATGATTTGTAGCTACGCACGCACTCTCGTCATTTTGTGTGTACGATTAGTAACAAATAGCAATTTAAACACCTATGGGATAAATTCCCTCTTACAAGGTTAGGAAAGAGACTTATCGGATTCCCATGTTCGCTTTCCGGTTCACAAACCACCCTAAAAGCATCAAGTTGGTTTCGATCAATCCGAAACTAGCTAAATATTGTATAAATTAATCAACATATACTCAAAAGTTCATAATTTAACTATTAGAGTACTTACCCAAGCTATTGCGTCCGGATTCCGAAAATATTTGAAGATAAATATTACCCATAACCTCACGAACTCAAATATATAATTTCTACTCAATTCCATAATCATTTTCGTGGTCTAATCCCATTTTTATCAAAACCTAGGTCTTTTAACAAAAATCTTAAAATTTCCACAATTTCTATGTCAAAATTTACACCTAATGTATGTATTAAACTCATATTGTGTTGAAAATATTTACTTTGAGGTGCTAGATGAAAAATCCTCTTCAAAGAGCTCTAAAATCGACCACAAGTTGTCAGAAATGAAACAAATACCTATGTCCCGATTTTTAAAACACACTGCCCAGGCATTTCTTCTTCGCGATCACCCAAAAGGCCTCGCAATTGTGAAGGCCCTGAAAATTGGCTATCGTGAATGCGACCAGAGTCTCATGAATATGAAGGCTTGCATGGCCTACCCTACGTGAACATGAGGGCTTTTTCGCGAACATGAAAACCAACAGCGGCCACCCCTGTGCAGCCTACCATACACGGAATGCGAGCCCGCTTATGCGAACGTGAAAGCCACAGGTCCCATACCTTCACAGTCTAGGTTTCGCGAATACGAAGCACAAATTCTAGTCCCTCAATTTTACTTCTCCATGAAAGCGACCCCACCCACAGATCGCGAAGAAGGAAACCAAAACCAGCAGTGACAACATTTCTAGACTTAGCTCCGGGCGGTTTGAAACTCACCCGAGCCACGCGGGACCCCATCCAAATGCACCAACAAGTGCATAAACATAATACGGACCCGCTTGAACTCTCGAAACACGTAAAACAACGTCAAAACTAAGAATCACACCCCAAAACCAAATTGAATCAAGTTATCAACTTCAGATTTTTAACTTATTTTGAATGTGCCGAATCATACTTAGACTACTCGGAATGACACCAAATTTTGGGTACAAGTCACAAATCACCATAAAGAACTAATACCAAGCTTAGAATCCCAAACGGACCTCGAAACACCAAATCCTACTCCAAACCAAACTTAAATAACTTGAAAATCTTCAATGCGCCAACTTTCAACATTAAGCGCTGAAACGCTCCCAAGTCATCTGAAATCCGATCTGAACACACGCCCAAGTCCAAAATCATTATACCAACCTATTGGAACCTTCAAATCCTGGTTCCGAGGTTGTTTACGCAAAACATTAACTCAAGTCAAACATGGCCATTATGGGCCACTATTAAGGAATTAAGTGTTCCGATTTCAACCCGAACCCTTCCAAACCCAACCAACCATCTCCGCAAGTTATAAAATAGCAAAAGCACATACGAGCATTCTTAATTAGGGAAATGGGGATATAGAAAGCAAAACAACCAGTTGGGTCGTTACACTAGGAGAGAAAGATTAGGAATCACCAAAGAATACTTTTGTCATTGAAGTTGAGAAACAACTCAGCGAACTTCAAACATCACTTAGTCGTTCACAAAATTGACTAAAACAAATAAAAACTTCACTAGGTCATTCATAAAAATTACTAAAATAGAGGGAAAAGTATTACAACAAAAAAAACTAACAAATATTTCAACGGGGACTAACTCTGCATAATGCGTGATTGTATGTGGAGAAATCAGAGGGCCTAGTTTCTTACTATCAAGTCACTTCAGAAGAATGTATCGAGACCCCGAGGACGTGGAGTTGCGACCGAGTCCCCTCCCTTAGGGCTCGTCGAGGCCCGACCCAAGGAAGACGAAGATAGAGGCTAGAGTAAAATGGGGAATTGCCAAGGCACACAGTTAAGTCTGACAGAGCCGGCCTACCCAGACCCTGTATCAAGGTGTCTCATCTAGCTGTCCCATCTCCATGCTTTTATAATTAATGTAGTTGTACTATAATAGGATTCCCCTCTAATATAAAGGGAATCCTCACCACTTTGTAAGGGGCGGTTGTTGCTCCACCCATTCTACACAAGATCAATAATATCTCTCTATCTCTCTCTCTTTTCTTCTAACTTACTCGCTCGAGGCTACTCTTTTTATTTATTGCTTTCATACTTGTTCTTCATTTATTGCTTGATATTGGCCATAAAGAGCCTTCTATAATTATATCTCAACTATTATCCCCTTCCCTGTTACCCCCGATAGCTCGAGCTCGACCGAGTATCAACCTCGAGGCCTTTCACCGATCAGTTTGAAGCCCGGGTAGCAAGCCCCTCAATTTGGTTACTTCCCTGTTTTAACTTGTATTTCGTCGTTAAACGTCATACGCCTAGCATCAACTGCTCTAACGACTAGCATAAAAATAGATCATGTTTTGTTAAAGTCCCATTTACAAATTCAATTGTTATTACCATTTTCATGGTAAACTGTTTGGCGCCCACGGTGGGGCTAAAAATAATAGTGATTATTTTCTTGCTGGTTTCACTACAAAAACGCAAGTTATCTTTCACACTTTTTCTTTTCCAATATCTTTTGATTTTAGGACAAAATGTCTGGCTCAGTAAATAGAGTCGAGAACAAAAACCTCAAAAACAACGGGGAAAACGGTATGGCTGTTCCAGTTGTCGGCACACCACCGTAGAATCCCGATAACGCGCTCGGACCGATTTTAGCGGACACAGATTCGCAGGGCGCACAGCAGGTCAACAAAACCATACACACCGACAGGAAGCCCAAAAAACCCCAGCCCTGGAAGAACAGGAAGTTAGTCTTCATGTTATTTTTGAAATGTTGCAGGAACTACAGTTAACTATCGCTTAGTTAGAAAGCCATCCGAAGACTCCCAGCACAGCAGCACTAGAAAAAACTCCCCCAACCGAACAGGTACCCAAGAGATCAAGCAATAACGGGTCGATAGCCGACCCAGCCATAGTAAAAATGCTTGAGGATCTCACCAAAAGGATCAAATCGGGCAAGAAAATGATAGCAGCCAACGACAGGAAGGTCGAGACCTATAACTATAGGGTCGACCTGATCCCGAGTGCACCCCCTGTCCTCAAGGGCGTGGATTCAAAGAAGTTTATACAAAGGCCGTTCCCAGAGGAAGCAGCTCCAAAACCCATTAGAAAGAAGTTCAAAATGATGGGACTCCCGAGGTATAATGGGACCTCAGGTCCCAACAAACACATCACTGCCTATATGTGCGCGGTGAAAGGCAATGACACACAAGACGATGAGATCGAGTCCGTCTTATTGAAGAGGTTCAGAGAAATGCTCTCGAAGGGGGTCACGATGCGGCATCATAGCCTAGCTCCCGACCCCATAAACTCACTTACCATATTGATTAATTCCTTAATGAAGGCACACACTGGTGCCATCGAAGCAACGATAAGAAAGCCCGACGCATCCGAGATTGAGCAAAGGGAGAATGAAATGCTACTAGAATTCGCATACCATTCCCAGATGGAACGAATGGAACTACCCCCAGTCTTAGATGACTGGGCGATGCAGGCCTTCACTCAAAGCCTAAACGAGCAAATCCCAGTGATTTCAACGCAGTTGAAACAGAACTTGATCGGGTATCCAGCCAAGACCTGGTCGGACGCCCTCATTCGGCACCAGTCACAAATTAGGGTCGTGGATGACCAGATGGGATCCCCTTCGGGCTCAGTATACCCAAGCAGGCTATTGGCAAAGAAACCAATGCCAAACAAGGAGAGATACCGGTCGTACGCTACATATAGGAGGAATGCCCCAAGACGCAACCTACCTCGCTACAATCGGAGAATGGATCGAGGACAATATCCTCGAGGAATCGTCAACAGAGCTAGATTCGACGGGGACAAAAGGCCAGCGAGGGATCCTCATCCACCGGGATACAATTTCAACATTGTTGTATTAGGCATCGTATTCACCGTCAGCAAAATCGGGGATGCCAAAGGGCCCAGGCCTATTCAGTCGAATACCTCTCAAAGGAATCATAGCTTGGTGTGTCAACTATATAATACGCACGGCCACGGGGCCGAAGATGGCCACCAGCTTAGAAGGAAAAAATCTAAGCTACTCAATAAAAATCATCGCCGAGAACTATAGAGCCATCGGGCTCAAGTTCAGTTTTGAGTAATGAAGGCGGCCGAGAATAACGAAGTGAATCGGTCGCGAAATATTAACATTATAGTGTAGGAGAGACGACACTCTCCAATAACTTATAAAGAGAAGGTTAAAAATTCCCGTCACCAGAGAAAAGCGAATCCAGGGATGTATTCCCAAGGACGCCCTCACATTCAGCAAAGAGGACACCGAGACCGTGTCTCAGCCTCATACCGACACACTGGTAACCTTCTTCCTCATTCGATCCATTTCAAATAAAACATGTGCTTGTGAATTCAGGTGGCTCGATCAACATTGTCGAGCTGAGGATGATAGGGTGGCTTGGACCGCCAGACCAAATCACGCCCGCCTCTCGAATCTTTAGCGAATTCCACACGGTGATCGAGACGACGTGATGAAAGACCGTTCTCTCAGTCAGAACGACTGGCGCATACTAGAATGCCAAGTTTCGTATCATTAAAAGAGGCGCAAGGCATGAACGCCTTATTCAGACGACTGTGGACGCACTGCGTGAAGGCAGTGTCATCCCCCCTTCGCCAAAGGATGAAATCCCCTGCAATGGAGAGAATTAAAACCTTCGGCAGGGAGCAACACGCGGCGAGGGGAATGTTCGCATCACATAATGTATCGCCGGCACCTATACCTCCACTCTCGAAAGAGTCAAAGGGTAATAAACCATGTCTTCGGCCAAGCCCGATTAAACACAACGGAGGGCTGTACAAGAGTCCTCGCTACAAAATAGCAGGGACATATCGGGCCTGGGAACATCGCCTACGCACCCCGCGATAAGGTAGGACCACCTCCTTCTTTCGTTATTTTACACTAACCCGTACGCAGACACCCTGTCAGGGCATTCGGAAGTGTTAACCCTACCCGAAGATCCCAAAGCCTTAATGGCACCCGTCGCACTCTTTCCCCTCAGTCGAGCTTTCGCCCCGAAGAGGGTCTCGCCGACAAGGATCTTAGCGGAGCAAAGTACCTCATAAAGAGGTTCCTACAAGCTTGTAGGGATTCTTTTGCAATCAACCTCGAACGCTGGAAGGTACTTCCCTTGAAGACGCCGTCCGTTCGGAAGGGCCGGGGAATGACAGACTAAGTTCTAATATGAAACAATGTACCAGGCCAAACGGTCAAAAGAGTCAAGCCCGCACAGGTCAAGCTCATAGCAACGAAACAACATGTACTTACATTAAGGAATCAGAGAATATATTTCGCCAAAAGCATCTCTACTCCAAAGAAAATTCAGTATACTCACGGCAAAGATCCATCCATCGAGTACGTCCCGAATTACTCGGAGACTTAGCGTCAACAATTTGATAACCACATGATCTCAGGGTCGGAACTCCGCGCTTGTAAGGCATCAACGAGGCTATTCCAAGCTCACGAGTAACGGCTTTCGAGTCTAAGCAAACTCAATGACTCGAAGACTATCGTCAATCACCATCCACTGAAAAACCTGAGGCCGTAAGACCCCAAGCGGGCAAACTCAGTCTAGCCAGATCTATTTTACATAACAACAGAAAACTCTAAGACCTCAATAGGCATGAAAAAACTGTAAGACCTCAACCGCCATAAAAAACTGTAAGACCTCAACAGGCATGAAAAAACTGTAAGACCTCAACAGGCATGAAAAAACTGTAAGACCTCAACAAGCATGAAAAAATTGTAAGACCTCAACAAGAATGAAAAAATTGTAAGACCACAACAGGCATGAAAAAACTGTATGACCTCAACAGGCATGAAAAAACTGTAAGACCTCAATAGGCATGAAAATTTTGTAAGACCTTACTAGAGGCATAAAACTCAATCCCGAAGTTTAGGCTATGTGTTGCATTTGTAAGACTCCCGAAAGGGCATACCCTCGATGTAGATGCCTAAACTATCACTCAGGATCAAAAACAGCTCTAGCAAAGCACATATGACTACGGTCAAAACGGCTGCACCAGCCAAATTAACGCGACTCGGGGACACCCGACCATCGCTAACAAAATCACAGGCCATTCTTCGAATCTACTTCGAAAAGAACCGGTTAAAATAGGCTACCCTCGATAGGCAAACGAGCTTCGACCATGTCAGATCCAAATAACAAAGTCTTGGAGCTACTCAGCCTACGAGATAAACCTTTCGAGGTGGTCGAACATCGCCGCTAACGACTTGAAATCGAGGTTCTTCCCGAACCGATGACTGGTTAGGCAAAATCATTTAAAAAGGTCCTTAACGAGATAAAAACAAAGCCTACATATGCCTAAGGGTAAAAGCGTAAAAGCCATTGTCGTCAGCCAAACGAGCCTCAGGGCCACACACTAAAAGGTCGCAACAACCAAAAGCGTAAGAGCCACTGTCGCCAGCTTAAAAATTGAAAACTTGAGAATTAAAATAAGCTCGAGTCGTAATCCGATTCAGAGACCGGATCCAAAATAGTTAACTATACATGCCTATGGGCACAACATAAGAGCCATCGTCGCCAGCTTTACAAGCCTTAGGGCCACATACCTAAAAGGTCGCTCTGACCCAAGGCGTAAGATCCATAATCGCCAGCAAAAAAACTTGAGGGTCAATTAAGCTCGAGTCGCAACCCGACTTGGAGACTGAACCCAAATAGTTAAAATAAAAATGCCCAAGGGCAAGGCGTAAGAGCCATTGTCGCCCGCCCATGCAGACGCAAAAGCTTGAGGGTCGAATAAGCTCGAATCGAAACCCGACTCGGAGACTAAACGCAAAACAGTTTAAAAAAGCGTAAGAGCTCTAATGCCAGCTTGTACTAAAGGCCGCATCAACCAAGCGTATAAGAGCCTTCGGGCCTGCCTGATGAGATTTGGAACCGTGTTATGAATCTAAGGATTCTCGCCAACTCCGAAACTAGCCTGCCTAGTCAAAAGTGATGCAGAAAGGGATATATAAGAGATAAATCTTCAGGTTTTCTTTTATTTACATACACAAAAGGTGTGTTCTCCATTTACAAACGTGCTCTGCGAATATCACATAAAAAAATGGTAAAATCTACGCCCCGCTTAAGAAGGCTACGGCCTACCGGCCTCATCTTCACTCTCCACGATGTCGGCAAGAAGTGACCGAGCATCACGCTTGTCCGCCCTTGCTCAAGCCAGCTCTTTTAGGAGAACAAAACCCCTGGCACTGATCTCTTCAAGTACCTCTCTTCAGGATCGGCAACGAAAAAATTCCTCAATCCTATTTTCACGATCGAGGGCTCTCTTTAGCTCGTCTTGGGAATTAGTAGCCTCTTTCAAATGAATCGCCATCTCCTGATCAGGTTTAGTCCGACTCAATGCTGCTTCAGCCCGTGCATCGATGATTTTAGCCCTAACCTTCGAAAGTTCTGATTCGAGCTTCGCGATCTTATCCACTTGAACGGAAGCGTTGTCACGAGCCAAGCGGAGTTAGGACTCGAAGGCGGGAACTTTAGCCAAGGCACCCTTCTCGTCCGAAGCTTGAGCCTGCATCTAAGCTCTTAGTTCGCCACAGTCATTCCTAACTCGTTCAGCTTCACCCCTAAGGTACTCCAAAGCCTCCATCCTATTTTGCAAATGAGATAGGCAAAATGATTAACCTTAAGGGTTAATAAAGCAAAATGCGTACTGCGAGAGGTTACCTGCTCCATCAAATAGCTCTCGTAATTCGATCTCCGGTGCGCCTCATATCGCCAGTGCACCAACTCAACCTCCTTCTCCTCGTAGAGGAGCGTATGGGACCTACCCTCATCCAGATCTTTCTAAAGCCTAGCCCCATGATGGAGAAGCTCAGACCTGAGCCTATCAAAGGCCTACAGAGGAAAAACTTGATAAGGAAGGGAAGACACAAGATGCGGAAGGACTATGCCGAAACTCACCGCGAAGTGAAGTCGGCGGAATTCCTTGAAGGCCGAGCACACTCCTATTGGTCCAGCCCCCTCGGCCCTGGAAGAACCAACCTCGGGAGAAGCATGATCACTCGGAGGAACCACCACTCCGGAATCGAAGACTTCAGGAACAGCAGGCTCAGGCGATGTTTTCTCCTCGAGTGCATATCCCGTTTATCGCCATCGTCCCTTGGCTCAGAAGCTGACAACTCCTCCCCCTCTTCGGAGGACAGCCTCGCCCCTAGGGACCTTCCTATAACTACGATGGCAAAGCCAGTACAAAAGAAAGGGGAAAATGTCATCTCAAATATACGAAGACCAAGGTAAAAGTAGTGTACGCACATATCTTGGTATTTTGCTTCCCATCTGCCCCGGCTCACAGCTTGCCACCTACGCTCGTCGCAAGTTGAATGGGTCGCCAACCTCCAAACCCAGCCGGGCAAATCGGGAACTTCACCTGGTGCCCACAAAGTTGTTGCAGGAAAGGAGGAAACACAATTACTAAACTGGTTTTCGCTATAAGCAAATCTAAGAAAGCACGAGACACTCCACTCACGCATATAATTCCATCCCTCGGGAAATGGCATGAGCTCCACGGGGATAATGTTAGTATTTCGAACCCGGACGAATCGACTGACCCACTCTCGATACCCATCATCCTCATCATCAACAACAAAGGGCGTTTACGAACGGCACCACAGGTTTAGCAGACCTCGATGATGAAAGTGCCGGTGCAGCCTGACGAGGTGACTAAGCATGAATTCAAGCCCAGCCTTCTCCGCAAAGAATCTCATTATCAGCACTACTCGCCAAAACAACGGATGTATCTGTGCCAAAGTAACCCGATACTTCAGGCAGAAATCAAGCACGACCCTATCAAGGGGGCCTAGTGTGAAAGGGTATAAGTACACGTTCAGGAATCCATTAGCAGGGTCCGTAATACTCTCATCCGAGGAAAGAGCCTACAACGCTACCCCCTGACCACATCCACAGTCTCTCCTCACCATCTCCAGATGTTCCTCTCTTATCGAAACCATAGTTTTCAGAGTAAACTCCCGCGAATCCTGAGCACTGAGAGTGGAACTCTCCCCTCCCTGCCGGGTAGGCCCTGAAGTAGCAGTCATAA